GAAGAGAGACAAACTTTAAAATGTATGGATTGTTGCTAAGACAGGTAGCTTGCAAATAACCAATCACAAGGCAATAAGGTATAAACCAATCCCAAAGATGTTGCTAAGGCAAAATTATTTGAAAGGACCAATCAAGAGCTAGCAAGGCTGTATCTACCCCCTAGATTAGAAAGCCAGTGCTTCCTCTCTCTCTTCTCTCTTCCTTGTTCACTAGGTTCCTGGCTCCTGTGCCCATGTGGCTTATGGCCATGTGGGACCCTACACATGGACTAACTGGCTTTAATCGCATGGATGCTGAAGGACACCCCGCTACAACATGGAACAGAAGCCGCAACACTGGCCTGAACCCTGCTGCACCTTTTCCAGGACTGGCTTCTCAATAAACTTTGGTTCTGCTAACTGTTTTTGTCTGCGACTTCAATCTTCGATTTCACAAGACAGTGAACTCAGACTCAAACCCCACATTTTGGTTTCATTATGATCAAAAACTTGCTGAATGTAGTGCCAAGCTCATTTCTGTTCATTTGATCTCACTGGAGATAGGAAAAGAGCTTGTTATCAACCTTCAAAAAAGTACTTTGATTTTGAAGATTAAACTTTCTCCTTAAGGCCACTCATTAATTTCTCCCGTCATTGTTACCTGAGCCCTTTTTTCCTTCTTGGTCTATACCAGGGGTTGGCAAACTTTTTGACTCGAGGGCCACAATGGGTTCTTAAACTGGACCGGAGGGCCGGAACAAAAGCATGGATGGAGTGTTTGTGTGAACTAATATAAATTCAAAGTAAACATCATTACATAAAAGGGTATGGTCTTTTTTTTTTTTTTTTAGTTTTATTCATTTCAAACGGGCCGGATCCGGCCCGCGGGCCGTAGTTTGCCCACGGCTGGTCTATACACTATTTCAACAAATGAGGATGTTTTCAGGCATGTTTAGCCAACTTTACTGTGGAGAAAGTCCTTTGCCTTAAATTCTCTTGGATTCTGAATGGCAATGAATTAAATAATGCCGTTGTTGTGCCCACTGTGCTGGGCTCTAGGAATAATTGGTGAACACAGCAGGCATGAGCCTTCGCTCCTAGAGCTTATCCTCCAGCTGGGAATCAGACATATAACACACAGTGACCAATGCCGTGAGTGCTGCTCCCAGGGAAGTACAGGTGCTGGGGCCCAGCATGGTGAAGAAAGGGCCCCACCCTTGCCTGGGGCTGCCAGAGGTCAGATGATATAGGACCTCTAAGCCATAGTAAGGATTTGGGATTAAATTTTCAGTGTCTGGGCCTATCCCTAGAGGTTTAGATTCTCTGGTTTTGGTGCAACTCAAGAGCCAATATTTTAACAAGCTCCTCTGTAGGACCCTGGTATAGTTAGTCCCAACACTTCCCCTCAAGACATTCTGGGTTTTATAGCCTTTGAAGGATTTATAGAGACAGAAATTGAAATAATTGGATTTGAATGGATTGGTGGAGGGAGGGGACAGGAATTGTCATAGGGTGGTTGGGTGGCTATTGCAGTAATTAAAGAAAGAATTCTTGGTAGCTTGAGAAGTGGACAGTTTTGGGATATTTAGGAGATAGAATAGGGTTTTGTGATTTTTTTAAAAATATATATTTGTATTGATTTCAGAGAGGGGGAGAGAGATAGAAACATCAATGATGACAGAGAATCATTGATTGGTTGCCTCCTGCACACCCCCTACTGGGGATTGAACCCACAACCCAGGCATGTGCCCTTGACCGGAATAGAACTCGGGACACTTTATTCTGCAGGCTGATGCTCTATCTATCCACTGAGTGAGTTTTTTGATCATTTAAATGTGAAAGGGGATGCTGAAGGAGAGGGAGGTATCAAGGCAGACTCCCAAGTTTCAAATTTTAGTAACAAGCACATTGACATTGAGGGGTAGGACACAGAAAGCCTGTGGAGATGGCTAGGATGCAGTTAGATACAGAGGTTGAAGCTCAGAAGCTCCGGGCTGGTCTGTACTGGCCATGTGCATTTGCGAGTGGTCAGCTGATAGTAATTGAGAGGGAGTGGCTGAGGTCACCCAGAGGAAGGTCAGAGATGAGGAGGGAAGGTCTGGAACAAAACATGGACTGTGTCAGACTACATTTTGGTAGGAGTAGGAGCCAGCAGTAAAAATTGAAAAGAAATGGCTAGGGAGATGGGAGGAAAACTGGGAGAGTTTTCTCATGGACATATCTACGGAGAGTGGCTCCTGGTGATTTTTCTGTATTTGTAATTTAGCAAAAGCAAGTTAAAAACATTTCAATCGGATTTCCAATCACATGATCTGGAGGGCGGATATTCTTAGTGCCACATGCAATGGTTTTATCCCAGGCATCAATCACACTCACACTGAGATCTTAAAATACCTGCTTCAGCATAAGCCAGTTACTATAGCCAGGACAGTCACCGAGTCTCCTTCCGAATGCACATAGTTAATGTTTTCCACTCACCTTAGGTCTGGCCTTCAAGAGCAGACATTCATGACTTTTCGGTCCTCTGAATGAAAACATTGATAGGAAAGTTCTGAAGTGCTGTCCAAGGGCGATGATCAGACTCCATTGTTTGTGCTACTGGGTCATGTCTTTCCTTGGGGGATATATTTATCTTTCGCTGAGAAATGCTGTACAGTGGGGCATGGGAGTCCATGCCTTTTCTACTGAATGTGAATTTTTTTTCTGCACTTAGAAGTATGTGTATTTTTTTCTTTTCTTTTTTATAATTCTGCCTGACCCCAAACTCTTGACCGGGGGGGTCAACAAATGTGGCCTGCTGCCTGCTTTTGTACAGCCCCCTGGCCAGGAATGACTTTTGCATTTTTAAATGGCTGCATTTTAAAGGATTACCTACATACCTTGATTTTGTCTCTTGGCCCAAGATGTTCACTGTGTAGCCTTTAATGGAAAAATTTTGCAATCCCTGTTCTTGACTCCTTAGCTACTTCGGAGTGAAAAGAAATCCTTTAACTCAGATGGGAAAGTCAGCCAGGACAGTGCTTCTCAAACGTGAGCGTGGTCAGAACTCCCTGGAGGGCCTGCTCCAATGGAGATGGCCGCCCGGTCCGCTGTCTGCAGGGGGCCCAGAGGAGTGGTATTTATTTATTTTTTAATTTTAGAGGTATATTTGACATATAACATGTCATAATATTATTTTAGTTTTATATTTGTATATATTGTGAAATGATCACACAATAAGTCTAGCTAACATCTGTCCCCATACATAGTGACACATTTTTTTTTCTTATGATGGTGACTTTTAGGCTCTACTTTCTTAGCAACTTTAAATATGCAACATAGTATTTTTAACTGTAGTCATCATGCTGTACATTACATCCCCATGACTTATTTATTTTATAACTGGAAGTTTGTACCTTTTGACCCCCTTCACCCATTTTATTGTGGCAATCACCAATTTGTCTCTGTACCTATGAGCTCTTTTTTCCTTTCCTTTTTTTTTCTTTTTTAAGATTCCACATATGAGATCACACAGTATTTGTCTTTCTCTGTCTGACTTATTTTCACTTAGCATAAGGCCCTCAAGGTCCATCTGTGTTGTCACAAACGGCAAGATTTTATTTTTTTTTTGTGGCTGAATAATATTCCATTTGTGTGTGTATGTATTACATTTTCTTTATCATTCATCCATTGATGGACACTTAGTGGTTTCCATGTCTTGGTTATGTATATAATAAAAGCCTAAGCCACCGTTATGGTGGAATAACCAGAATGACCAGTTGCTATGATATGCACTGACCACCAGGGGGTAGATGCTCAATGCAGGAGCTGCCCCCTGGTGGTCAGTGCGCTCCCACAGGGGGAGCACCATTCAGCTAGAAGCCAGGCTCACAGCTGGCGAGTGCAGCTGCGGTGGCGGGAGCTTCTCTGCAGTAGCGCTAAGGAGCAGAGAGCCAAGTGGTAAGGAGCAGTGAGCAGGTGGGTGGTAAGGAGTGAGGGGTCCTGGGCTGCAAGGACTGTGAGGAGAAAGAAAATTAATACCTGGGTGCATTAGAGGGAAACTACAAAAACAAAACAAAAAACAAAGAAAACAACAACAAAGGCAGAGAACATCTTAAAAGTAGTCAGAAGAAAACCGGCAGGCGGACACCCCCCAACAAGTCCTGGACTGCGAGAGTGCACAGGCCGGGCTGAGGCCACCCCCCCCCCCCCTAGTGCACGCATTTCGTGCACTGGGCCTCTAGTTTTAAATAATGATGCAATAAATATGGGGATGTACATATTCTCTCAAATTAGTATTTTGTTTTTTTCAGATAAATGCCCAGGAGTGAAATTGCTGAATCATAAGGTAGTTCTATTTTTTTTTTTTTTTGAGGAACCTCCATACTGTATTCCATTGTAGTTGCACCAATTTATATTCCCACCATCAAGGGGTTTCTTTCCTCTACATCTTATCCAACACTTAATTTTTGAAATCCTCACCCAAGGATATGTTTTTAGATTTTAGATATAGAGAAACACAGAAGGAGAGGGAGAGGGAGAAACATCAATGTGAGAGAAACAGATTGGTTGCCTCCTGTACCTGCCCTGACTGGGAATCGAATCCATGACTTGTAGGTGCATGGGATGCCATTCCAACCAACTAGGACACACCAGCCAGGGCAGGTTTTGTCTTTTTGATAAGAGTCATTCTAACAGATGTGAGGTGACATCTATTACTTTGGGGTTCCCTGATGGTTAGTGATGTTGATCATCATTTTTCATGTCTATTGGCATCTGCATAACTTCTTTGGAAAAATGTCTGTTCAGGTCCTCTGCCCATTTTTAATCGGCTGTTTGTTTTTTTCATATTGAGTTGTATAAGTTCTTTATATAAATATTTTGCATATTAGCCTCTTATCATAAGTATATGTTTCTTTTTCTTTTTTTTTTAGACATTATATATATTTTTTAAAATTATATTTCCAAGGCCTGTCTGCAAAAATGGTCTAGAAGCAATGACATTTCAGCACCAATGAGCATTTCTGTAACCCAGATCTTGGTTTCTTAAGTACCACACCCCACCACCAGAAGGAACTGTGGTCCCTTACAGAAGCCGGACTCCACATCTCAGGCAGGAAGGAGCACCTGTGTCTGAAAGCTGGGAACTGAGAGACTCAGAGATCAGTGTTAAAAGATACAAGATCTTCACTAGTCAAATAGGCAGCAACTTAAGCTAAAAATAAGCCTACCAAACCAAAACCCCAAAAACCGACCCCTGAACTTTACTGTGATGCACTATGTTAAAGGCACTTGAGTCCACAGTGACAGTCCCCTGCTGACCTTACATGCCACAGTAGGGGACTATGACGACTGCTGAGGTGGCTTCCTCCAAAGATGGGTTTCCTGTGAGAAATGCTTCCTGATCCTCGTGCCCTCTCGGTGTGGCTGGCATCATTGGC